GCATCTTTGATCATCCAATTGATGACAGCAACTCTTTTAGCAACAGGCACGACTTGTTGGAGTTTGCGCTTGCGCTGGTTGCTTGTCTGTTCGTCCTGGTAGTCTTGCTCGACGTCCTCCTGGCGGTCGTCATCTGCTTCCACATCGTGGAATACCACTTCGGCTGCGTGTACGTCCATTGTTCGACGTGGAACTGTTGTGCTGGCTGCTGCACGAGCAAATGCAGCGATGATTGGCGATGGTGACGTTAAAGCCTCAGGGTGCCCAACGCCATTACCATTTCAGAAAATTGAAATCTGCACTATTTCTCCACCACTCAAATCAAGAATTTGCCATCACATATATTAGTGTGGACCGCACTAATTTTGAATCCGCATTTTACGGTAAACGGTGTAGTGTGTATGTAAATTGAAATATATTTTTTTTTTTCTTACGTGAAAATACATATATATCTCCACGCTACCAATACGACGACGACTTGATCCTATATAATTCGATAGGCCGAGCCCCACACGCCGACGAAACCTCCGCTCCTGACGTTTCCTGAAGTGTACAATATATTTCATTGTTTTGGCTACAGCCTTCGCATTGCGTTGACATGTGCCGAACACACCGCCGTATCGCGTTCGCACGGAATCGAGTGGGATGCGATTGAAGTGCCTTCGAAGCTCCTCTCGAAGTTCTGCTACCATCGAGGTACATATGTACTGGTCGGTGCACCTAAAGTATGTCTTGTGAAATGAATGGCTAGAAACGATTCAAATGGTGTCAGGACACGTCGATACGGGGGCTCCGCTGCCAGACTGTATGTTTGACAAGCTCGTGGCCTCCACACGCATCATGGCCGCGACCAACTTGCTCAAGCAACTGGAATTTTCCGCCCTCGATATGGCATTGCATCACCAGTACGACCCGTATTCCACCACGGAAACCATCTTCGATGTCAAGGACCGAGTCGCGGAACGGTAGGATGTACAGTATCTCCTCCTACAGGATGGCAGGTTGAACGCCGCGTCGTGTAGGTTTTCCGCGATGCCTCCGATGCGCCAAGACCTACGAGTGTGTTCATTCAGGCACATTTTACAGGTACAAGAGATGATATACATGGTGAGATTGACGATGGTATTTGATGGGTATATGTACATATTTGTTGGCTGGTGCAGCTACTTGTGGTCAGAAGCCATGTCGGCGGATGCATTCGGTCGATTCGAAGAAGCGACCACCCCAGAAGAATGGCAGGCTGTGGGCCGCGACTCGCTCCTGGCGATGCTAGGAAGTGCCCATCCATTGGACGCGTTCAAGAGGTTCCGACGGCGACCGCCCAACATGGACGCGTTGCTGCGCAGTTATGGCCTGGATTAACTTGAACGACGTTAATTTGAGTTGTTGTGTTTGGCAATCGTGTCGATACAAAACTGTGTCCGTTGGAGGCCAACGATTCGTGCAGCCCTTCATCGAGTCTGTAACAACTAGTGTACCAGTACTGTATTGATATGGACATGGGTGAATATGATCACTTTGCGGACACGTTCGGACAATTTCAGTCGGACATACTTGGCATTTGTATTGGACTTAAGGGGAACATATTTTGTCCGAATGAAAGTGTCCAAACGGAACATATTCCGTTCGGACACTTTATACTTGTGTATTGTATTAACCCGCATAAGAACGATCAGCTTTACAGTTGCGAGCGACGACAGAGCATCCGCCCACAAAATTGCGCACACCGCAGCGTAGCGGAGGTCGTGTGTATAATTTTGTGCAGGCGGTGCCTTGGCGAGGAGTGAGCCCCAATCGTGCACTTCACCGAATGTCCAATCGATTCCTCTTGTCGGGAAAAGCGGCAGGTAGGCCGCAGGCCGTGCCGCTACCCGGACAAGGCCTGTGGTACAACTATTCGCATTTAATGCGTAAATTCGGTTAAGTGCGTGTCCGAAGCACATATCCAGCAAATATTTGTCCGAGTCGTTATGGTATGGTACCCTAGCATCGTCCAGATAAACGTGGCGCCATAAAGGTTCATTCCGAGCAGCAACTCCACCGCCGCGCTGTATACTGTACAAGATCGGGTATGTCACTCAACCACTGTCCGTAGCTGCGTCCGATCATATATCATTGAAACCCCCTAATATTACCGATGCGTGATAATTCAATCAACGATAGATTTGGCTTGCAATTTCGTCACCTCCATATATGTAGGCGTACCATTGAGGATGCCCAAATAAGAGCATTTCCATCGGCACCTCCAAATGGCTGGTTAT